GGAGCGGGCGGGGGCGGGGGGCTCGGCGCTGCCGTTGGGCGGTGCTGGCTCCTTGGGCCCCGCAGCGTCCTCAATGACCACCAGCTCCGCCGTGATGGTGTCCTGCAGGCCCAGCACCTTCTTGGTCTCAGCCTCGTCCTCCACGTTCTGGTAGCCCATGAAGATCATGGTGACCGGGGGCTCCTGGCCGGGCTGGATGCCCGGCGGGCCCGAGGTGGCCTCGCCGGGCTGGGCCTGCACCCCTGTGATCTCCCGGCGGGAAGGCGTGGTCCTGCCCATGTCCTCCACCGTCCCCCGGGTCTCTGCCGCCCCGGCTGCGGCCCCCGCCTCGCTCAGCGTGACCTCGTCTGCCTTGTGGATGAGCTCGTCCACCTCGGAGGAGCTCAGCTGGTGGACGCCGTTCTCTGCAGTGCCGTCCACAGCGTGGACCACTAGGGGGGAGAGACAGAGAGTGAGGCTCCAACGGGGCGGGCGCAGGCCGTGCCGCCGGCTCACGGTGCCACCGTTAGGCTGCCCGCAGGCCCGTCAGGACCCGCGGGCGGCTGAAGCAGCACTCGGAGGAAAACTCAGACGCTCACAAGCAACCGTTAGCGGGGCCGCCCGGGGGGCCCGGGGTGAGTCTCAGTGCTATCACCTCAACGGCCTGCGTGGACCCCCGCCCCAGGGAGGGACCCCAGGGCGCACCAACCCCGCCTGTCTCCCCGCTGCTCCCCCAGCAGTGGGTTACAGTGGATCCGCCTGTCCTGCTCCCCGCTCTGTCTCTGGGGAGTCCTCTCACCCCTCCACCTCTGGCCTGTACCCAGCTCTTATATGCATAAATAAATCTTTAAAAAATGAATAAAATTTTTTTGAAAGCATGTGTTAGAAACCGGGAAAGGCTGGATTGCATGAAATGAGATTTTATTGTCTTGCATCTCGAGGCCTCTCCAGATTCCTCGGCCGACTTTCTCCCCAGCAGTCACCTTGCAAAGTAGAGCTGGGTTTGTTTTTGTTTTTGTTTTTGCAAAGGCGGTAAAAGAGCTCAGGAAGGGAAGCCGGCAGCCAGCCCGAGGTCCCACAGCTCGGCCTGCTTCCCCAACGTGAGGAGCAGGGGCCTGATCGTGAGGTCAGGCGTCGCTCGGCCTCCGGCTCCTGCCTTTCCTGAGTCCCGCTGTGCCTGCCCGGACCCACGCTGCCGCTGTGTGCCAAGCATCGGCTGCGAGGCGGCTCCTGCTAGGGCCGAGTCTATCGGAAGGGTGTTCCGGCGGGGCTGGGGCACCGTGGCCCAGGAGTGCGGTCGCAAGCAGAGGCTCTGAACAGCCGTGCGAGGGCTGCCTGGTCCCAGGACACTTCCGCTGTGAAGTGCCGCTGGGCAGCCTTTCCCCACTGTCCCCTGGACAAAGTCCGCATGGGCAGTGGGCCTCGTTACACGTGCGCCCCAAGTGACCCCAAATCTCCTCATCGTTGACTCCGGTCTGTGGGTTTTGCGGTCTTTAAGGCCCGGACGTGAGCTTGCTGGGCACAGTCCCCGCCTGCCTGACAGGCCAGTCTCAGCGCCATGCAAACTCCTAGAAATGCAGCTGCCCAGGCTGTGGGCAGCGAGGGGTGGGGGGTGGGGGGGAGGGAGGTGACCGGGATCCCCGTCCTCCCAGCCAAAGGTCAGCCTCCTGGCTTCAGGCCAGAAGGAAAGTGCTTTTCACTCTCAGCTTACAACCCCCAGGGAGAGCCGTCTGCTCCAAGGCTGCCCCGTGACTTTGAGACTTTGAGCCGGGCTGGTCACACAGAATCAGCCTGAATGTTTCCCACTGGCCCTGTCCCGAGATAGGAATCCGAGCCCTCGGCTGCCATGGAAACCCATCGCCTCCCATTGCTGAGCAACCAGAGTCCAGTCTGGTGGGCCTTGAGTCCCCGGGACTGGGCGGTGCTGGCGGCACCAGAGGTGAGGGTCTTCTGGACAGGCACCGGCCCTCGGCCACGAGGACAATCCCGTCCAGGAGATCGGACAGGCGAGACTGGCCTGGGAGGGCAACATCCCCCAAAGCAGGCAGAGTGGGGTTGCGACCGGATGGCCCAGAGGAGCCCCGGGCTTTGAGAACCAGAACCAAGTGGGGGCTACCTCGCCCCCACGGCCTGGGCCGCTAACACAGAGCACAAGGGCCAGTGCCCACGGGGAGAAACGGAGCCCCCGCGCCGCTGGCCGAACGAAAGGGCGCACGTGCTGTTCCCCCACAGGCTCAAGGTGGAGGGCCCCGGGACCCCGAAACTCCACCCCTAGGGGTCCACACGGCGGAAGTCAAAGCACGCACCCCACAAACACTGGCCCGCATCGCAAAGCCAGGAGGGGCAGAGCCCGGCTGTTCACGACCAACGCTACGGCCCCACAGCATCTGTGGCCCAGAAGTGGAGGGAGGGACCGGACGCGGACGCTCGGGACAGGGCCAGGCTCGGCGGCC